TTATCCCAGTCTCAGCGACAGGAGACTGACACCAACCGAAAATCACCCATCAAAGAGTTCCCGTGTCCTGGCATGCAGGGGACGATGGCTCATGGGGCTGCCGCCAGTCCCTGCCTCTCCCTGTGCTGCATCATGGGCTCGGGGGCCTGCTGTCACCCGAGGCTGGCCCTTAGCACCCGCACTGGCATGGAGCAGGACACGTGCGAGGTCAGCAGGAGCAGTTTTTTTGGGGAGCCCACCCAGCACAGCAGGGCTGGCCCCATCTCCAGCCAGAGCAGCAAGGAACAACCCAGAAGGTCCCTGCCCCATGGCCTGGACCTCAGGAACGAGGAAGGGTGTGGGGACCATCCACCTCCACGGCAGCTCTGAGCCCAGGGAGCATCACCTGCGTCCCCTGAGCTCCCAGCGCAGGGACCAAGGATGCTAATGAAGCAAACCCAGTTTGCAAGGTACAGCATGGCCCAGGGCTGGCATGTCCCCATTTACAGGGCACTAGTGTGCATGTAAATCCAGAGCAGCAGGAAAGACCAATTTCTCCCTGAGGAGCCCCTGGCAGAACAGGGAGGGAGGGAGAAACCTTTCCCTTTGCCACGGGACATGAAGGGGACAGCGGCCAACATGGCAGAGCCCTGAGCATCTTGCAGCAGCTTTTGTTCCTCTTGGGCCAAATGTTGCCCTCGGCTCACCCCCAGCACCATGGCAGGAGCAGACCCACAGCGGGGAACAACCATCCCATCCCATCCCATCCCCAACGGCTGGGCGTGCAGCTCATCCCAGGCACACCAGGTAGCAGGAAGGGACATGACAGCAGCACCAGTGACCCCACACCAGCCTGTCACTGTTGCTACTGGACATGTACATCCGCTCTAACACAAACCCACCCCAGAGCAGAGCACCACGGGCTGATACGGTACCTGCCACCCCAGGTCCTCGGAGGGGGGCGTTACCTCATCTCCACATGCTGCTACGCCGAGGCCGGGCAGGGGTGAGGGAAAGCATTGCTCTGCTCCAGAGCAGCACCTCCCAACCTGCTCCTCGTGTTGTTGCATTTCTGGCCCCTTCAAGGGCTGAGTTTGGGGCTGCCTGAGTTTGGCTCGAGCCCAGCACAGAGGTTCTGCAGCCCAACCCATCCTGCCTGAGACGGGACCAGAGATGGCAAAGCGCTCTGGAAAATGCCAGCACCAGCCCAGAGCAATCCCAACGCATCACCCACTCATGTGATTTTATCGTTTGGCCACAGGGAAAGCAGGTCCCATTACACACAGCCCACCCGGGGCCCACGGAGGGCTAAAGGGGTACCTCCACCTTCCGCTCCCCATCAGAGGCTGGCCGGGCCGAGGCGCCAGTACCCCTTGCAAGCCAGGGCCCTTCTTCTGCTGCCCTTCGAGATGAGAAGAGAGCAGCAGCCAGAGGCAGAGGACTAAGGACGCTTGCCCCCTCCTCACCCTGCAAGTCTCTATTTTGGGGGGGCCTCTGCAGGAGAGAAGTTGCTGGTGAAGAGGACGAAAGGCTCTCGGGGAGCAAATTGCCTCCTTCCCACCACATCCAGCCTTCAGCCCTGGCTGCTCCCAGGGGCAGGGACAAAAGCAGGGCCAGCAGAGCCTCTCCCCAGCCCCACAGAGCCACACGCAGCCACCGCACCATGGAATGAGTTTATTGAGGTGGAGGGCAGGTAAAGCCTGAAGAGCAACACAACTACGCGGCGAACACTCAAACGAGCGGCGCGGCAGGAGAGGAGGGCGAAACGCCACCGACCGAGCCCAGGCTCTGCCCTGCAGTGCAGAGACACCCACGTGTCCAAAAAGCTGGGAAAAAAATTGGCAAGAGAAGGGGGTGCTCAGCAACCTCCCCCTGAATCAAAGCCACATCAGCTGTTTCGTGGAGGAGGCTTCAGTGATTGTTCTTCACCCTCTACCTTCCCCTCCCTGCCCCGACACAGCGGCACACTCGGTGCCACTGGAACTTCCTGAACTGCTCTGTTGGTGATTTTTACAGTGCACCCACCAGGCTTGGAGCAAAACACCTCCCAGCACACACAGGCAGGGCTCAAGGGCTGGGCTGCTCCAGCTCTGCCCCACCTTTCCTCCAGGCAGAGCACAGGGGGTCCTACACAGGGACACCCCCTTCCTCGGGGTCCTGCAGCTCCCGAGCCCTGCTGGAGTCTCTTCCAGGGCATTGTGACCTTTTCCCAGCACTGGCTTCTTGGCTGCAGACTGTGCCAAAGCCCTGATGAACCATCTCCCACCGTTAAAACATTTATTGACTCTGAACGTGGCATCTAAAAAGACAACATAGGGGTTGCTATGCAGAAGAGCTTTGCTGGCTGGGAAAGAGATGGCGTCAAAGCATGCTGGGGAGGGCGAAGCTGTTCTGGGTAGTGGCTTGGTTGAAGCAGGACAAGCTATGGATGGAGCAAGGACATGCAGGAGGCTTTGCTTTCACTGCTGTTGCCGCAGCACTTAGTGGTTGCAACGTGGCAAGTCCACAGCCATGGACTGGAAAGGGAAGCGGTCCTGGCCCTAAGGACAGGTGGGAAAAGGGGCCAGGCCATGGAGCTGCTCAGGACAGGGCTGAGGGCAGGAACCTGTCTGGCCCCTGTTACTGTGTGCCTCTGGGCATGAAGAGCCAAGCTGCAACGGGAAGAAACGCTTCCACCATCTGCTTGACTCTCAGCCCAGCCGGGACCAAAGCCCCCAGGCAGGAAGGGTGCAAACACCTGCAAAGCCCAAACCATCTCCCATCACGCCACAGCCTGGGTTTTGGGGGACAGCATGGGAACAGGGAGAGCCGCTCCACTCCCCCCAGCACCCCGCGACACCGCAGCCCCGGCGGGGAAGCAGCAACTGCCCCATTTGGATTTACCCCCGCGAGCCTGGGGGGTTGCTGGAGCTGAGCGCAGCCCCGGTGAAGGTGGCACAGCTCAGGCGAGGGCCGAGAAAGCAGTTTGGCCACAGCAGGTGTAGAAAGAACAAGAAGAGGGGCTGGGGCTGGGTGAGGATGTGGAGACCATAGCTGGAGCTCTGGCAAGAGCCTTTTGCTCCATGAGCGGGCTTGTTCCCTTCATTTCATCCGTCGCTGTCCCATTATCAATCTAGGTCTGCAGCTCCTCCCTACGCAAAAGCAGCCTCACTTCTCAAATCAGCAGCTAATGAGCCAGGGAGATGGTTGGAGTGAAAACACACCATCAAAAGCAGAGCTGAGTCTGCCAGCACAAGTGTAATAAAAAACCCTCTCCTTAGGGCTCCATCCGCCTCCATGGACCGAACTGATGGCTCTGTTCCTAGTTCCCCGAGGCCATGCTCACCCTGCTAGAGCCCGACGTCCCTGCAGGGCTGCCAACACTTCCTTGGAATCGCCTTTCCTTTAAGCCAATTACAATAGAAAAACTCAAAAAAATGTACAAAAATATAAAATAAAGTGCAGTGTTATGTTTTCGACACGTTTGCCTTGTTTTAATGAGCTGATGTGTGGTTTTTCTTGGTTTTTTTTTTTTCAATGAGCAGTATTTTACAAAATCGTAACTACGCCTAAAGCCATTTAGAAAACACTGAACATTGGCACAAAATGGAGAAGCCCACAAGGACGGACAATGAGTGAGGGGCGAGGGGGACATGGGAGTAGTTGAAGCAGTGGTTACAAACTCCATGGACGCTAAAAATATCAAAGGGGTTTGTTCCCTATCATCATTAGCATGTGGATACTAATTGCTACCTTGTTTAATCAGTGCCTTTGACTGAAATCCTACACATGAATACAGCTGCTTCCAGTTAAGAGTGCTTTTCCCTGCACCAGTGGTGAAGGAGGATCTGGGGACCCCTTTCTCCCCCCTCCTTCTGCAGGGTGAGGCACAGGCTGATCTCCTGTTAGTTTTTCAAGATGGCATCGTAGGCCTGGTAGATGTACTGGGACACTTCGGGAGCTCGGCACTTCAGGGAGAGCTGTGGAGAGGACAGGAGAGGTTAGTGGTGGTGCAAAGGAAGGCAACTGGAAATGTCTGACCTACGGCATGGGTTGGACTGACCACGGACGGGGCTGATGACAGACACCCAGAATATTTCTCCTGGGTACTGCTTTTGTGGTCACCAACCCCAAACTGCCTTTTCAGAGCTTGCTACGAGCAGCAGGAGGTACATGAAAGCAAACTCACACTGTGGGGTTCCCAAATCCCTTAACCAACGTAGGTGCCTCTGCAGGCATGAAGGAAGGGGACATTACCCCAAACTCTGAGACAAGGGACTCGCCTGCCCTCACGCTGGAAATCACAGCACCGAATCTGGGGGCTTCTAACCATTTGCTGCTCGGTCCTAACAGACGCAAACTTGGCTGTCACCCCTCTCTAAAGCAAGGGCCAGGCTGAGACCAGGCTTGTGGCATCAATCCTTGTGCAAACACTTCAAATCACCTTCCAACGCTTGCTTTTACCCCGTGGGTCCCCAGACCATGGATTTTTCTTGAAACTCCTGGAACAGCTTCTAACAGGAGATAAATCCTCTAATCCCAGGATGCTCAGACACACAGGCCCTCAGAAGGAGAGCAAAGTCAGAGGGAACAGCTACAGGAGTGCAGGATGCAGGACGGAGCGCGCCGTCCCAGCAGCCACAGGCTGTTGCCAGCACAAGCCAAAGAGCCGCTGACATCCAGACAGCCGGTCTCCGCTGCAGGAACGCAGCGGGGCATAAATTTCTCCGTACGAGAGGGGGAAGGGCATCCTGGCAATGCTTTCTCGCTAATGTCTCTTGGCTTTATCTCTGGGTAACCTTGGCGAGTAACTGCTCATTGCTGAGCAGGCACCATCCCAGCTCACTGGTAACAGAGCAGTGTAATTCTGTTGTTT